CAAAGACACACAAGAAGTCTCTGGGGAAGTCAGGAATAGAATCCAAATCTCTGGACTCTCCATTCTGAGCTTTAACCATACAACTTTAATCCAAATGTAATGGAGGACATGGAAGTCATTCAGGTATCTGAGAGTTCAGAGAACCTGGGGAGCCATTTGTTTTAGCTGAAGTAATGATGTGAGCATGTAACTTTGTATGTGCCAAAGCCTTTACTTGAAATCTGCAGTGCAAAGACTTGTGCACATAAAGCAGAGGGATCTGATCGTATTTCAGGATAAAAGGTTATTTAATGAGTAAGATTCAGGGGCCAATGTGCATGATTATAGTGAAAACTTGACAAAAAATGAACAGAGGTAGTGAGGCAAATAGTTCAATACAGAAAGAAAGATTGTGAATGGATCTCATAGACACAAGACCTCTACCATCAGGAATCCAGCATCACCACCCTCCTAACAGAGGTCACACAATCAAGCCATCACTTCAGTGATGAGCTGCCTTAATCTACCAGGGAGACCTAACTCTGTGGTTAGAGTCCTGTCATCAGCAAGATAATGATGAATATGGAGTCACCTTTCTAGGAGTGGCAGGTCAGTATCCAGACAGTGAATGATCAGAACTCCCTAAGTATCAGTTAAAGTGGCAGAACTTTTACTCGTGTGATCAGAAGAACTTTATTTCCAGAACGTGTAAATGGCAACATGAAGAGGCAGCATGAGATTATTCTCTGCCAGATTGGAGTCAGACTCTCATGTTCAGCCACTCTTCAACAAACAGAATCTTAAAATTGATGTTTCTTACAGACTTATTGTTTTTGGCCAGTGGCCCATGGAGAACCTGCTGAAACATTTTAATTAAGAGAGCTGAGCAGCCTACATGAAGAATTATTGAATGTACTGTTTTAGCTCTTACTCAATTCCTCTATCGAGCTTCAAAAACAAGGTCTCTCATTCAGCTTGATTAGAATGTAACCTAGTGCAGGCTGTCTTATGTTTCACAAAGTAATAAGAGATATAAGGCCATGATTGCTGCAGAGTGATCAAGACAAAAGAAAAACTGTTTCTCTTTCCAAGGTTACCAAGATAAAATCAAGTGTATTTTGTGCAATATAGAGATCATGTGAATCCATGGATTTACACCAGGGATGAACCTGTCTCTCTGTTTCATGGGCTCTGTTGTGTTATAGTCAGGTTTTTATACCATGCTTATCACTATGGGATCTGAGTGGTTTCTATTTCCTCCTAAATCTATGTAAATTCAGGTGGCTTGGCAGTCACTAAACAAAAATCATATTGCCCAAAGTCATTAAACTTCCCATGTGGGTTTCTCAACAATTAGAAACAACGCACACAGGAGAATGTTAGAAACACAGCTGGACCATTCTTTCACCATTATTGCAACTTGCAGATTGAAAGGGAACAGCGATCTTGCTGTGTTGGAAATCAGCACTTTAACTGAGTGATCACTAAAGAGTGTAGTATTTTTATAGACTGAGCTCCAATTCTGCAATTGTATCAGAGCAGGTGGAGTCCTGTGATCATGCAGAACCCCAACGATTACAGGAGTAGGTGGGTGAGATTGTGTGGCCTGCAAAGTGCAGGAGGTCAGACTAGATGATGGTCCCTTCTGACCTTAAAATCTATGAGTGCAGCCAGTTAGGGTTCTGACATGGTGTAAATCCACCCAATGGTATTTTTGCTCCTGGCTGCAATTCTAGTCCTAGGCCAGAGAGAGAGAGAGTTTCCACATTCTTCATTTCAAACATGTCAGTGTGGTTGCAATGTTTAAGGGGGCGGGAGGATTCCTACACTGCTTCAGTGGGCATCCCTGCCTGGGTGACCATCTCCACCTCAGCCCTCCAGGGGCTGGGCAACTTCAGTTTGCTCCCGACAATACTGCCATCACAATTCTGAAGGGAAACTGACCTCCTGTTCTTGCCAGTGAATGAGGGGGATCATGAGGGTCAGCCAGGAGATGCCATGAATGAGAGGGAAATGGGGGGATTGAATTTCACCAAATTGCAATATTTCTCAGTGCCCCTGGATAACAGCTTCCAGGGGGACTGTCCAGACTTAATCATCAGACCTGAAGACAGAGGGGAGCCTTCGATACTTTTTATTAGGTCCAGAGTGGTCTTGTGTCGCAAAGTAATCTGCAAAGCCCTGGCTACCCCTGTATATATGAAATTGTTGGCTGCTCCCGAATTCATGAGGGCTCATTGGATGGACATCCGTTAGGGCTCTCCGAGGATGTGTAGCTGGAAGAACACGTGCAAGTGGGAAGCCCCTGGATGGAGCTTGGTGAGTGTTCCAGTAAGGACTGAGGTGCAGGGAAATTCTTATCTCACAGAGCCTAGGCTGGTTCTCCTCACTGAACCTAAGTGGACTCGTTTCCCAGATTCCTTGGAGCTCAGATGGGACAAACAGAAATGGTGTGGCCAGGTTCGCGACAACAGAAGCATATATGGTGCCGTTGGCATGGTTCCTCTTCTTCGGGTGGACAACGAGCCAGATCCACCTGCATCAGTTCAGTGGGTGAAACAGGTACCGAGGTAATGGTAAGTGGATTGGGAAGTGTGGGGGCTGCACAGACCCTCCCTTTTCCTCTCTTCATTCCCATAACTGGTTATTTATGCAGAGGATGAGGTTGATAAAGGCATCCAGACTTGTGGGCATCTCCACGTGGGTCACTTCATCTTTGATCTCCTCCCTCAGACCCCACCAGAATTGGTACCGTTCCACCGCCTTATACCACTCTGCGTCTGCAATGAGATGGCAGAAGTGTGCCGCATAGGAAGCCATGGTACCCTTTCCCTGTGGAATTTCTTTAGAGTGGCCTCAGCCAAACGGCCACGATGCAGGTCATGAAGATTGCTGATATTGATTGGAGGAAGGCGTTCCAATTTGACAGGACTGGGCTGTTACTCTCCAGCAAGGGGGAGGCCCAGTCCAGAGCCTCCCCCTTCAACAGACAGAGGCATAGGTCTGGGGACACAACAGGAACAGAAGATGGCACTGGTTCATGAAGCGCCAGAACGGCTGGCGACTCCTATTGAATTGTTCTGGTAGAGGCATTGTGAACCGCTGTTCAAGGCAGGGCACTGTGGTCTGTTTCCGAAGCAAAGTGTTTTCCATGTGAAGCTGGCTTACTTGATCCCGCAGCCGCCCACTCTCTGAGTCAGTTGCAGAACTTGGGCCTGCAGTGCTTGGTTCTCTGCCTGGAGGCAGGCAGCCCAGTGCCTCTGGAGGCAGCAGTTGGGTTGCTAGTTCTATACTTCTTGCACTGGGGCCACCCCCTTTGGTATAGGTGCAGGAACCAGGGGTGTGGGGGGTGCTGCAGCACTCCCAGGTTTTATGGGGGCTCTGCTGCTGGCCCCGCTCCCAGGGTCCCAGCTGCTGGCCCATGTCCGGGACTCTGGCTGCTGACCCGTCTGCCGCTCCCCACCGGGGTCCCTGCTGCCACCTCGCACCTGAGGTTCTGTTGCCGGCCTCGCACCCAGGTTCCGGCTGCCACCCCCCCCCCGGGGTTCCGGCTGCCTCCCCGTGCCTGAGGTTCCACTGTCAGCCCTGCACCCAGGGTCCTGGCTGCCAGCCCCGTGCCTGCCCCCAGCCTCAGCTCCCTTGGCCCTGTCCAGGTCCCTGCTGCTCAGGGAAACACGGCCTTGCTCCCGGCCCCGGCTCGGGGGGAGGAGGGGAGAATGGACAGGGGTAAGGGAGGGGCTGGCTTCCAGCATCCCCACTATTAAAAATGCTCCAGTGCCCCTGCCCTTGGGGATGACTGTACGGTCTGTACAAACTGTTGGGGCTGGGATGTAGGCAGCTGGGCCTAGTTTTAGCATAAGGTGGATGGGTTGGATCCTTGCACCAGCCAGAGTTCAGAACCAGAAGGTCAGAAACTGAGAGTCAGATACCAAGAGTCAGGCCCAGTCAAGAAACCAGGAGGTCAGGGGCAGGTAGGAAAATCCAGTCTCATTTGACCACACACACAAAACTGTATGTCAGCACAGATACAGAGAACACCTGCTTCTGGCTACTGAAAACCTTAAAGTTCAGAACCTTACTAGGTAGAAACACCAGGCCAAAGGTATCCCTGGCACAGGTGCCATTATTTCAATGTAATTATTTAAACGGAATTACACTAAAGATGAATGTTACACTGTAACCTGTTATGGTATCACAGTATTGGAACAGCTACTGCCATTTTGCATGCTCCTCTGAAATATAATGTTTGCCTTTTAAATAAAGTCTCTTAAAAAGGTATCCTGCAAAGATATTTTCCAGTATTTGTTTAATTATTCTTTTTAAACTATGCTGGTAAAGGGAGCGGGGAGTGGGGGAAATGTAATCTGACCAGCAGTGCAACACAGCATCTTGGTACATTAACGTCTTAGACTGGACAAGCATCAGAGCATATAAAAGGGAACAATCTGAGGACTGGACTACATATAGGGTTTTTCCATCTCTATGAAATTTCTATGAGTCTATAACTCAGTGTGGCTGGACAAGAGGTTTATTTGAGACTTCAAAATAAATGCCGCTCATCCATTTTACTTACTAATACTTCTCTTGGAAGGAATTTGTGAAATGTGATCCTTTATCATTAAAAACAAAATGATACCTATGTTAAAGTGTCTCAGTTTCATATGTGATTGAAAGAAGAAATGGATAAGAAGGATATCATTCAAATGCTTCCAGTTCAACAGCAAGCACTGTGTTCAAGACAGCTCACCCTTTGAAGGAATACAATTATAGAGCTTAATCCCACAACCCAAGTTGACCACAGAAATAAATAAATGGCAGGATCAGGACACAATAGATGAAAAGGACCAAAGAAAGAGAAGCATTAACTTCAGAAAACTCTAGCTAACCTCCTCAAAATCTTTCACCTACTATACACCGTCACCAGAGAACAAAGAGCATTCTCTTATATTACCACCATTTTCACTTACGCTTCTTTAATATACCTCGGAATAACTGATGGTAATTATGCTCCAACCACTTACCAACATATCCTGGGGTTCCACACGCTGTGGACATGACGTCTCCTTTATCCTCCATCTTTGACAATCCGAAGTCACTGATCATGATTTTGGATTCTTCATCCTGGCTGTAGTACAGCAGGTTCTCAGGCTAGGAAGAAGTTTGAGACAAATATATGAGTCCAGTAAAGAACAAGGTGACACTTTACATTTATTATATTCAATTTTTGAAGCGAAGGGGGGGGGGGATTCCCCAGAACCCTCAACCAATTCCCCATAATAATCATTCTTCAAAGGCAGTACCAGCCAACCTATTCTCATGACTGAGAAGGATTCTATGGGGAACCAAATCAGTGCCACTGTTAAGGCAACTAGCCAGAGGCCCTCCTCTTCAGATGTTGCATGTACCATCTCTGAAGCCATTCCTTTTCTTTGACACCCCAAGCAGGAACCATGGCCCCTTCTTTCTCCTGACCAGAGACATAAGGGGATTGCCCTATATACAAACAAGGACAGTCTCTTCACTGTATGATGATAAAACAGAAGAGTTCGCTTATATGCAAGTATAAATGGTAAGTACTATGTAGAACATTCAACACATTTTACATAGATGCAGCAGGGGGTTAAACTGTAGTTTAAAAAAATCCCATTAGTGTTAGAGAATTTTTATATATATCCTGTAGGAAATAAACTATGATAAAAGAGTAAATGCCATTAAAGTTAACAGAGTTACACCAACATTGATTTGGCTCCAGTTAACTAGAAAAAACATTGCACTACTGAGAATAATGAACTAGGAGCCGAGTAGAAATCAGGAGTCTCTTCACTGAGCTCCATGGAGTTGTGCTGATGTTAATCTGGTTTGAGATCAGAATCATGCCCCAGACACCAATGTGCTACATTGTTGCTAATCCAAAATGTCCAATACATCTGCTTTTAATAATTCGTTATGTTATTAACAAACAATACAGGTCTTACTAAATACAGTGCACTTCTGGGAAGTGTAATTTGAGGTTTTACCTCCCAGGGTGATTCCATTACGAAGGGTTTGAGTCTGCAAGGTGCTTAGGGTCCTCTGTGAACTCCCAGTGAAGCTGTGGAAGCAGTGGACAATCCACACCTGGTAGGGCCAGGCCTTAAACTTGTTACATTTTTACAGCACGAGATTACCAGCTTTGTGACATAGTATTGGAACAAGGTACAAATACCTACCACAATTTAATACATTTCTTCTATAAACCCAATATGCGCTCCAAAAGTGGATTTTCAGGAAATAATATATGACACAGATGGGGCAATTCAACATCATTACATTCACTGTGCCAAACCCAGCCTTGGTATATAAGGGGGCAACTCCACTGAAGTCAATAGCAATGGGCTAGGGCTGAATTTGGCACTTTATCTTATAGCAGAACTCAGGAAGTCAGACATATTTTTATGTTTCACTCAGATGCTTATGAACTCTTAAAGTATTTCAACAACACTCACACCGAGCCAAGAACCCAAGGATACCAGAGTAGAAGAGACTGAATTAAATGTTTAGGACCTGACCCTTCATACCTGCTTTTCAGTGCTCAGTGTGGCATGGTGACGTGGCAAAGAAGGAGATTATTGCAAAGGGGGCCATAGGGCCTTGAGATGCAACTACTTACAGCAGCCCCAAGGTTGCTTTAAGTTGTATGGACCAATAGCCCACAGGGCAGTCAGGATCACTGGGGCATAAGGATACTCCGGCCATGTTCCCTCTTTCCTGAATATTTCCCTTGAACTGGGAAGAGGAGCAGCGAAGGAGCCGTTACACCATCTCTATACCATCCAGATATTCCCCTTACATACGGAGTATCGTCATGGGGTAATTAAGCCAGCTTTCTGGCTGCTGTGGACCATCAGAGCAGCACCAAGCCGCGTTGCTGGGCCTTAATTTGCAGGACTGAAACATAGCAGACAATGATGTTATCCCCTTGTCCTCACATGCGCGTGTACACAAAAGTGGAAACAAACGTATGACCTTGCCCAGTGTCTTCTAAAGGGGCTGAGAACAGAAAGGAAACAGGGTTTCTGAAAAACAAAACAAAATTGGCTATGCTGCGTGTACTGCTTTTCTAAATGTTCTCTTGGTTCCTCATGAGTCCCTCGCCTTCAATGCCCTGCATAGCTCTATCTCTGCCTTACCCTTGGATCTTCTTCTGACATCACACAGGGATGTTAAGGGTACAGCCCCTGGGCTGGATCCGTTCCATGGTACAGTTTCATCAGGACCACGGACTTTCCATGACTCTGTGGGCTTTGTCTATATGACCCCGGAGACCACACTATGAAGGTGTGATTCATAGAGTGCATCAGTGTGTCACCACTCTAGCTCCCCGTTTGTACCTTGCTAGTGTGCATTGGTATAGTCCTGTTTCAAACAGGACTAGATCTATGCACACTAAGGAACATTTAGTGTGAGCCAGCAAGTTCCACATGGGGGAATTAGAGCACAACACACTGGTGCACTCTGTAGATCACAATCCTGTAGTCCAGACTCTGGCGCAGCAAGCCAGCAGTACCTCGCACACAGGCGTAGAACCGCTCAGTTGCGTTTAAGAAGCACTGGGGAAGCATAAATCTGGTGGAAACTGATGTGTGTCCGGGCAAGCGGAAATGGCACTGAAGAGCGCTTACCCATTGGCTGGAGATTAGATACCTCACCTAGCAAGTCAAAGAAAAGGAAACTTCAAATAAGTCAAAGGTTGAATGCCTCCTGCAGCTGGTGGACTCCCTTTTAAATAAAAAATTTAAAAAGAGAAGAAAAGAAAAAGGGGTGAGGGGATACCCTTCTTCTACTCTTCCCTTCCTTCATTTCTTTATTCAGCTTGTAACACATGGCCATGTCTTTATCCATAAAGAGAAAAGTAGATCATTTCTCTTGACAGGCAGGACATTCATGGAGAATTTGTTATTTCTTTGTGGACATGAATGGACAGCACACGTGCTTGATATGTAAGCAATAGGTACAGGAGCGGCGCCAGGGTTTTTGCTGCCCTAGTGGCAGCGCTCCTCCTCTGAGCATTCAGGGGGTCTGAGGTCTTCGGCGGCAGGGGTCCTTCCGCTCCACATCTTTGGGGCACTTCGGCGGCAGGTCCCGGAGCGAGTGAAGGACCCGCCGCCGAATTTCCGCTGAAGACCCGGAGCGGAAGGACCCCCTGCCGACGAATTTCCACCGAGGGCGGCAAAATGCTGCCCCCCAAATCCTGCCGCCCTAGGCGACCGCCTAGGATTGCCTAGTGGAAGCGCCGGCCCTGAACAGGTAGCTGTGGTAAAATAATACAACATTCAAAGGCACTATGAAGCAAACCAGGATGAGAAGTATGATAAATAAACAAGAAAATTATGTGAAGATAAATACTCCAAATTAGCACAGTTGTTAAAAATGCAGCCATTAATGTTTACTAATGCTTATCATGCAAGTAATTCTGCTGTTAAGGCAAGCTATGTGATTGCCCATGAAATAGCTGTCTCATCCAAACCATTTTCTGAGGGAGAATTTTTGAGGAACTTCATGCTACAAGCTTCAGAAGTACTGTGTCCAGATAAGTGGGAAGCTTTTGCAAATATCAGCCTCTCAGGAAACAAAATTGCTGAGAGAATTGAGTTAGCTGAGAATCTGAATAGTCAACTGCAGGACAAAGCAAAGTACTTTGCTGCTTTTTCAACGTCAATTGATGAAAGCACAGATGTAAACGACGCATCTCAACTAGCAGTGTTAATTCATGGAGAGCGTGTGTGAAGCAGAGGAGCTTGTAGAATTGTAGACACAACAACAGCAAATTATCTCTTTATCAACTTGGTGAAAGCTCTCAACAAATTGGATGTGGACTGGACAAGAGCTCTGAGTCTGGCCGCAAACAAGGCATCCTCAATAGTAGGTAAGAAAGCTGGAGTTGCAACAAAATTGAAGACCTAATTGCAAACTATCAACCACAAGCAACAGTTTAGCAGTTTTCATTTTATTTTACATTAAGAAGCTTTCTGTAGTAAAATTTTGGAAATGAATCATGTGATGAATGTGGCTGTTAAAAATGTAAATTTTATTCGAGCTAGAAGTCTCTAATCAGTTCAGCCTGCTGTTGGAAGAATGTGACATTCATTGTGGACTGCCATATCAAACTGTAGTGGCTAAATTGGAGAGTTGTATTGAAGCACCTTAAGAACATAAGAACGGCCATACTGGGTCAGACCAAAGGTTCATCTAGCCCAATATCCTGTCTTATGACAGTGGCCAATGCCAGGTGCCCCAGAGGGAATGAACAGAACAGTTATGACATCAAGTGATCCATCCCCTATCGCCCAGTCCCAGCTTCTGGCAAACAGAGGCTAGGGACACCATCCCTGCCCATCCTTCCTAATAGCCATTGATGGACCTATCCTCCATGAGCTTATCTAGTTCTTTTTTGAAACCTGTTATAGTCTTGGCCTTCACAACATCCTCTGGCAAAGAGTTCCACGGGTTGACTGTGCGTTGTGTGAAGAAATACTTCCTTTTGTTTGTTTTAAATCTGCTGCCTATTAATGTCATTTGGTGACTGCTAGTTCTTGTGTTATGAGAAGTAATAAACAACACTCCCTTATTTACTTTCTCTACACCAATCATTATTTTATAGACCTCTATCATATCCCCGCTTAGTCATCTCTTTTCCAAGCTGAAAAGTCCCAGTCTTATTAATCTCTCCTCATATGGAAGTTGTTCCATGCCCCTAGTAATTTTTTTGCCCGTTTTTGAATTGCGTTCTGAGATCAGAAAGGAAAAGCCGTCACTGAATTACAGGTCAATGAATGGCTTCAAGACCTGGCTTTCATGGTGGATATTACAGAGCACTCGAACTTGCTCAACACAAGAACGAAGGAGGGCAGCCAAGTAGTGATAGAATCCTATGACAACATTCACGCTTTTGAAACTGAGCTTCAGCTGTGGGAGAAGGAACTTTCCCAGAGTAAGTTGGCACACTTACCTGCCTTGAAATCACGATGTGACACTGTTGGGACTCAGTGTGATGACACCATGGGCAAAATTGCTGAACTGAGAAAGGAATTTCAAGAATGATTCTCTGACTTCAGGAACTATGAGGAAGAGTTTGCAATTTTCAGCACAACCTTTTCTGTTAATGTGCTCGATGTACTAGAGGAGCTCCAACTGGAACTTAATGAAGTGTAGTGTGACACTGCTGAAGGGCAAATTTTCCAATATTGGGGTGTTTCCAAGTTTACCAATATCTGGATCAAATTATTCCAGGCTGAAGTCCTTTGCATCAAGAATTCTTTCCATGTTTGGGAGCATGTATTTGTGTGAACAAGTATTCTCCATTATAAATATCCACAAATCTAAGCTACTTTCTGAACTAAGCAACACACACCTGAACTCGATACTCAAGATAGCCTCAGCCCAGTCATTTGCTCCAAATGTTGATGCACTAGTTCAAGCTAAGAGGTACCAGGTATCGGGGGAGCAGCAGTAGCGATCACTAAAATCTAAAATAAATGAAATTACCAACATGGTTTCTCTTTATCTATTTCTATTTTAATAACTTTTGCTGAATGTGGCCCATGCCAAGTGGCACAGTATCGGATCAGGCCCACCATATGAAATGCATTTGACAACCCTGCATCGCGTACGCTGGTTTTACATTGGTATCTGGCTGTGTGGGAATTACCCCTGATTTACCTCGGTGCAAGGGAGATCAGAACCAGGCTCATGTCTCTAGCCCCACACTTGGGTCCCAAACTGTGCCAGTTTGGCTCACCTTGCTGCTTCCTTTGTCTCCTATTACCATAAATGACACCTTATGTAACCTCTTGCTATCCTCCCTAACCTTGCACATTAGAATGGCTTAGACATTTTTGACGACAGCAAAAGTACAATGAAAAACAGAAATGAAATTTCATATATATTTTCATGAAGTTTTCCTCCTTTTCCAACCACCCTTACAAGCAGCCTCATTCCCTTTCTTCACCCCCCTCCATCCTCACTCCTTTCACTACCCCTTCCATCGCAGAGCTCCCTCCTCACTTTCTTTCCTGACTAGAAGCTGATTGAAATTTTCTGACTTTCAAAATACTGCTGACATTTCAAAATTCAAAAATTAAACAGGAAATCCCACCTCTCTCCCTACAGTCCTGCTTTTCAACCAGTGAGAGAGGGGGTACAATAGTTTGAATTGCACACATTTTAATTTCTAAAATCTTCAATATTTCTTTTGTTTTTTACAGTGCAAATACTTGTAATAAAAAATAAATATAAATTGAGCACTGTACACTTTGTATTCTGTGTTCTAACTGAAATCAATATATTAGAAAATGTAGAAAACATCCAAAAATATTTAAATAAATGGTATTCTATTCTTGTTTAACAGTGCAATTAATCGCGATTAATTTTTTTAATCCCTTGACAGCCTTCGTATTAACTGATTAATTAAAAAGGATGCTAACAAGATGAGTCTGTACTGATTAGAATCTCTCAGGACCTTTTATTGTTCAAACCACTGTCCTCCACCCTTTGTTTATTGTCATTCTTTGCTGTGTTATTTAGATCAGAATCTCTCGGGGTAGAGACCTGCCTTTCCCATCCGTTAAGTGGTGCTCTACAAATAATGATTATAATAGCAATAGTTAATTATTGATGTTACAAAGTAATAGTCCCAATCTCAATCTTGATTGTGGGACCATCTGGCCTCCATCAGGAACTTCCCAGCCTAGGAATCCACAGGATCTGCTTGCCCACTTGCAGCCTTCTGCGGCAGCCACAACAGAGTGCACTGCCAGCCCTCTGCTGGGCCCAGGTTCCCTGATGGAGTTGGGCCCACCTTTACATCCTGTAGCTGGGAATCACCAGCTCCAATCACTAGATTCTGTCCAGCTGGGTTGGATGATTCTCACCAACTACCTGCTGGGCTCCTCTCCAGAACAGGGCTGGCTGTTCCCTGGTACTCTGGCCCTTAAAGGGGCAGACTGGCCTGTTTACAGTGCTAGGGCAGCAGGTGAATTCCCGCCCAGCTACTGCCACTTGGGGAGGTGGAGTACCTAGACAATGAGAGAACCTCTCTCATTGGCATAGGTGGCGTATTCACTGTAGCTGTTTATATGTAGACAAGTCCAAAAACTTTACCAATATGTAACGATCCAGAAGCAGAACCAATGAACAGACGAAGATAAAGACTGTACTGGTGCTAACCCAAAGCAGGGCCAACTCTGTCTGCCATGAAGAGCCACTCTTGTGCATTGTCCCATACAAAACCTGTGCAATAGCAATGCTGAGCGTTATTTTTAAAATCGGACTCTGGTCTGTCAGCCACACCCACGTGTTTTGGGACAAGTCTTTATTTTATCATTTCTCCCCAACTGGCCCTTTTTATCAGATGTGAAAAATCAACATCACCACCACTCAGCATTGCCATGTTTATGCAAAGTTAAGACAAAGCAATGAGAGGCACAGTACAGTCCTCACCATCTGCTCAACAAAGATTTGCAGCAGCAAGTTGCTTTTGCAAGACTGGAATAAAAAATGAAACCACCCATCTAAAACATAAAGCTTCATTCATGACTCTGTTACCATCAGAGTGTGACACTGCCTGGCTTCTCTTTAGGTTGGATTCCCCTTTTGTGACCTGGGAGGACAACGTAGGGGAAGAGGCCAGAGTATCAACAGCTGAGGACAGGAGATGGTTATAAAGTCCCACCAAGTCACTGACAACGGATTGGTTGGCTTGGCACTTTTCCTCAGTCTTCTGATAGCCAACAAATCCATTGGCCTCTGTAAAAGAGTACAGGTCCTATATCCTAAGAGGAAAAGTGAATCCTACCTCAAAATGAAGAAGCATTTTCCATCTCTAACCTCTGCCTATCCAAGTATTTAGATAGCTCCCATCACCAGAGTCACTAGGCTCTTCAAATGTTAATTAAACTTAGCCTCACAATAACCCTGGAAGACAAGGAATTCTTATCCCCATATTAAAGATGGGGAACTGAGGCTGGGAAAGACTAAGCAATTGACCCAGGGAAACTAAACTAAGCTAGTGGCAGGAATTGAACTTAAAGTGCAATTTAGTTCAAGTCAATGCTTTAACCACAAGACCATCCTTTCTCTCTTGTAAGTCTATATTTTGTTACAAGCTACATTAGTTTGCTCTTTCACTTTTATCCTACACTAAGTGAAAAATTTGTGACCCCAATGCTGAGTATATATATTCAGTTATTGTCTTTTATTAAAAAAATATGCCTTCTGCTACTGTATTGTTCAGGATACCCAAGGCTTAAATGTCCTGATTTTATCTAGCTACGCACACCATTACATCTTTACAAAGAAATATCTGCTTATCATCTCAATGGCAGCATTCAAAATGGACGGAGAAAAGTATGAAGAAATAATGCTATTATTTGAATAGAAGGGATGAGCGATTCTGCTATAATGACACCTGGGCACAGCGAGGAACAAAGAGTAATCTCAAAATCATACAATTACCCCGTGTTCTTCAGAAAAGAATCACTTGTGCAGAAACACTTACAAAAACGTTGGCTCAAATGGAATGACCGTAAAGGGGGAATTGGTAAACATTTTCCAAACAATTAATCCTCTGACACTCTGTATTTAAAAGCAGCACCCTGGAACCCCCATATTCACCCTGTCATATAATTATGATATATTGCACACAAAGCATGCCATGTAAGACATCATATGAAAGTTCATGATCTGCTGAAACCTATTATTCTGTCCAAATACGTATATCATTTGTGTGTATCAAGTTATGGGATTTTGCTGTATGGTTGTTACTGAAATATGTGGAAAGTTTGCTAGTGACATACAAAGGAGGCAAACCACTCCCAGGAGGATGTTCAATGACCATTAATCAGCAGGGGAGTTGTATTCAAGGGATTTACAATTCAATGGCAGTTGCACAAGACCACACCAGGGGGTTGCTTAACACGTGACTCAGCAAGGCCAACCAGGACAAGTCTGGGCTAATATTTTCCAGTCACGTGGATTGAGGGTATAAAATAAGGACAGTGGCATCATGCCTGGGCCTTTCTTATCCTCCACCTATGCTGGAAGCATCAAGAATGCTGGAAAGACAAAGACTTCAATTGAGGAGACATCCAGTGGGGTGAGAAAACTGCTTGATTGAAATACTACCTAATGTAATAAAGTTTAAGATTTAGAATGTGCGTTTACCTTTTATTTTCTTTGATAACTATCTCTGACCTTTTATGCCTACCACTTATAATCACTTAAAATCTATCTTTCTGTAGTTAATATGTTTTGTATTTTACCTAAAACAGTGTGTTTTGGTTGAAGTGCTTGAGCAATCTCAGCTTAATTTACAAAGGCTTATGTCCTCTCCACATTGACAGAGGGGCAGACTGTCTAATAAACCTACACTGGTCAGGCTTCTGACCAGGGAAAGATGGTACGGCTTTGGGATGCACCGCTGGAGAGATGGGCGGAATGGGCTTGTGCCTTTCTCTGTGTAATTCGTGAGTGGCTCAGGGACCATTCATGCAATCTAGCTGGGTGTGGGGCTCCACATGCGGTTATGCTGAGTGATAACAGTGCCTGGAGGGGTTTGCTGCTGGTCACTACCAAGGCATTGTGAGAGACAGCCCAGGCTGGAGAGTTAAGGGGGCACTGTGGTCCCATACTTCCAGGTTGTAACCCAGGGATTCCGTCACAAATCCCTCATCATTATAAGTAGTATGTAGTATTTAATACAGCACTGTAAATTTGCAAGGCATTTTTTCAGCAGTAAAAACACATGCGTCTGCCCAGAAGAGCTCACATTCTTAATGTAACGGAAGTCATTTTCCCCCAGGATAGATTTGCTGTAATCCCACTCACCACTAATGTTGCTGAAGGTGGCAGGAAAAGGCCCTTCATGAGACAAGATAAAGAAACACTGCTCTAGATAAAACACAGGACAGCTGTTCAGATAAGTGAGGGTATGGATTATACAAAGCCTCACTCAAAGGATGAATCTCTACTCAAAGTGGTAGTCCCACGGTAGTCGTGAAGAGTGTGAGTTAGGCTTTGCGGTAATTGGGCCCACACTCATTAATACTATCTAGAGATACAAGTAAAGTAAGTGGCCTTACCTTGAGATCTCGATGCACAATGCCCATTCTGTGCAGGTAGTAGACAGCATCTAGGACCTGCCGTATCAGAGTGCTTGCATCCTTCTCGGTGTAAAATCCTTTCTCTACTATGCGGTCGAAAAGCTCGCCTCCAGACACTCTGAAAAACATCATGGAATATGGAAGTGTGAAGATGTGCTTATAACTCTCTAAAGGTATGTCTACACTGGGGCCGACTGCAGCTTGGGTAGACGCACCCAAGCTAGCTTTAATCTAGATAGCTCGGGTCGTGGAGCAGTGAAGCTGCTGACGCAGTGCATGAGTAATTACCCAAGGTTCTGGGACGACTCGTACAGCCCATATGGAAGCCGATACAGCCCCAGTTCCACAGCGCTGGCAACCAAGCTAGCTAGACTAAAGCTAGGCTCCGTGTCAGCAATGTACATATACCCTAAATGATGGCCAATGACAGTAGGGTGACTAGATGTCTCATTTTTATAGGAACAGTACTGTTTTGGGGGACTTTTTCTTATATAGGCACCTATTATCCCCCACCCCCTCTCCCATTTTGTCACAGTTGCTATCTGGTCAATCTAGATGAGAGTACAGAATCGGATTCAGTTCAAGCAAGTGATTGTCTAGTGCTATGGGGATGCTCAGATAAAGTAGAAAAGCCTCAAATATTAGGATTTTGGGGGGCTTCCCATAGCACAGAAGCTGGTCAGTTTGCTTTTAACACTGAATCCACCCTAATGGGACAAAAAGGTTGATTGAAAACAATAAGGTAATAATTATAAAACAAAAAACATCATGGCTACCCTACTATAACAGAATGGCCCATCTAGTCCAGTATACTGTCTCGACAAGGGCCAAAGAAAAAGTATTGGGCCAGACTCACTAGGGCTAGCTAGCACAGGGTAATTACACTTTCCTAGGCCAGCAAGATCCATGAGTAGATGAGGAAGGACAGGGAATATTTCTGATACTGCCCAGCTGTAATGCACTTCGTGTGTGTAAGTTAAAGTCTGACATCGCCGTCTAGTGGCTGGCCCAGGATGATTATAAGGGGCTTACTACTGTCAGCAGCTTGACTCATGCTTTAGTGGTAAAGACTTGTGTTTTTGGAGCTGGAGGGCAGGGTTCTATTCTCCTTCCCCGTCTGTGTGAGATTTATACAGTAATTGTGTCTGATACCTACAGCACATTCATTCATTTTATTGCTTTGGGACTCCTACTGGGGAGAAGAAAAGGGCAGCCTCTTCCAGAGACTTCACCATTTTACCCATTCCTACTTGTTCATATATCACAACCTAGACACACGCTTATGTTTCAAGACTGTTGGGCGAGCCTGGCCTCAGATTGACTGGCAGAGCACAGTTATTAACGAGAGAACAAAGATTATGAGATCAGTTCCCCACCAGGTAACCCAGACTGGGAAAGGGTTCCATAAATCAAAGAAAAAATAAAATGGAACCATCCCAATATTATACTTATACTACATTACACTTCTCTTCTGCTCTGCTAGAAATAACATGCTCCTTCACCCATCTTACATAAAGAATGGGCCACATTAAACTTTTTAATGGAACTTTCTGTGAAAAAAAGAGGTAGGTCTTTACTAAGCTATTGAAATCATAAAACTGTCAGCAAGAAACTTTAATTGCCCCACCAGGACAAATAAAAGATTTCTATTTTAGCAGGCAAACAAATTAAAAAAAATAAAATTAATGCGATATGTTTTCTGCAAGCTGTACCACTTAACATATAATAAATAACAGACTGAAATGTTCTTTAAAAACAAACCTAATAAAGGAAAAATAATAGAGTCATTAAATGCTCATGTGGGGGGAGCTTTACGTTATACAAACACTAGGTAATTCAGTTGCAGGCACTCCAAGCAATAATCTGTTTGAATAATGATTCTGAGATCACTTCCTAAGGAAAGTTAGGAGCTGAAACAGAAGAGAATGCTGCTCCTGGAAATTAACATGTTCAACTTGGAAACTGAAATGAAATCTAGGAGAAAATAGCCATTTAAACTGAATAATCCACCAATTAGTTACTAAGCAACTAAACTGAATGAGCCACTGAAATATTGAAACTAAGATGAAATTATTCAACAGATGTGAAATTCACTCAGGGCCTGGTCCAAAGCCCACTGAAATAAATGGAAAGGCTCTCACTGGCTCCGATAAGCTATGGATCAGGCCCCATGTGAGTCCCCTCTGTGTCACTTAATCTTTGTACTTCCACACTGAGAGCAGGGCTGGAAGCCCGGATCCACAATGGTCATGCAGAGGCTCTCTGCACTCCCTATGCACCATAGAGGGGGCTCTGTGCTGGCCACAGAAACAGACTGATGCAGAAGGTGGCAGTATAGGGGCAGGTTGGCAGCAAGTTGGGTGAGGGGCTCCTGGTCCATTATGTAGTTCTAGAGGCTATAACATCTAGCCCAGGTGGCAAGGAGGTACCACAGCCTACGGCTGCTGCAGCTGCAGCTGCGGAGAAGGAGATGTGATGCAGCTCCACACCCTGGATTGCGGTGATTTTTGTCCACTCTCCATCCTGGGCATTTCATTTGCATAAAGGCTGAATGCTCACCCTATAGGAATCCTCCTACATAAAGATTATCTGGTTGCTACAATAGGAGCTATATAATGAAAAGTGAATAGATACAATGGACAGGCAGGTGCTAGTCAATACCGCACAGAATGCTGCCCCAAATCCTTGGCTTTTAGATCCACATTCAATACAAAATCCAGCCAGACTCCATTCTCCTTGCCATGGAAGAGTCTCCTAAATGCTGTGCAAAGAATCTTTTTCTCCATCCGCAGAAGGCAGATACAGTTTTATTGAATCTGGCTTTTATTAACTGCTTGTCTTTTCATATTTTCCCCAACCCCTCTTGTACCTTCTGGATTCACTGCACTGAAAATTTAGTCCATGCCATAATTAATGTGATTGAATACAGCATGTTTTCCTATGAAATCTCTGTGTGCTTTGTTGTGCACTCCACACAGTTCCTTGGTTTTTATTCCTGAGATATACTGCTTTACTAGACACTGATTTACAGCATGTGCTTTTATGTGCAAGGTCTCTCTCCTCCCTTACTCCCAGAGAGAATAACTCCCTACTATTTTTAATCAGAACTACTTGAGATTTCCCACACACACACGCTCCTACAAGTCCTTTATCTCTTAATCAAAAGCTCTTCTAACTTGAATTTAGTTCAGTTGATCTACTGTACCCAGGCTCAATCTGTTTATAATTTACTTTCAACACACGGAATATATTTTCAGCCTATTGAATGACGCATTGCAAAACAGAGCTGAAATGCAGACACACAAGATAGATATTCCCTCTTAATTCAGGACGTGACTGTGACACCAAGTATGCATCATGCAGGGACCAAAGGGGGCATATGGCAGCCTTTACTCTCTTGCATGGGTTACCTGTGTTGCAAGTCCAAGGTAATGTGCACTGGCACAAGACACTTTGTATCCTGGTGCAGTGTGTCTACACTATGGGTTTGTAATGGTGCATCGACATTGGCATAACTATATTGGTGCAACAAGCCCTGGGATAGACAAAGCATTGTCTCTTCAAACAAGAAGCTTCATAGCCACAGGTTCTGCCCCCAAGTATGTTCTGCCCTACAGCACCTAATGGTCTAAACCTGGGTCTCTCTAGCTGCGTCATCCCTAGGGTTACCATACATCCAGATTTCCCCGGACATGTCCGACTTTTTGGTCCTCAAATCCCCGTCCGGGGGGAATTTTCAAAAAGCCGGACATGTCCGGGGAAATAGGGAGGTATAAGCCAGGGTCCGCCCGGCCCCAGCACGACCCGTCGGGTCCCCAGCGCAGCCCAGCCCAGCTGCCCCAGTGACATTGTAGCAAGCTCGGGTGGGGGGTGGGGGGGCGCAGCTGCAGAAGGCGGCGGAGGGGCCACTGCTGCCCCCGCAGACCGGGCGGACCGCGCGCCCCAGCCGAGCCCACAGGATCACGGGGAGGCTGGGCCCAGCCAGTGGCTCGGGCTTCCCTCGCGGGCGGGGACCCCCCGGCCACTGGGGGACCCTTCCTGCGGCCCTGGTGCTGCGGGAGCTGTTCCAGCGGGGAACGTGCTTGGCGGTGGCAGGAAGGAGGCTGCGGCGCGGGGCAGGGAGTGTGGCGTGTGCCGCGGCTGCAGGGACCCGCGCCGCCCCGGTCGCTGCTGAGCGTCCGAAACCCCCACCAGGCAGAGGCTGCTGGGGTGCGGGGGAGCAGGGCAGGCGGGGGGCGCAGAGGCTGCAGGGCGAGGAGGAGCATAGAGGCTGCAGGGTAACCCTAGCCATCCCTGTCTTGGAAGGTGAGCACACTCTTCGGTAGCTGAGACTCAGCCCATTATATTGAGACCAGGACCTTGCACTCTGTTCTGAAGTGAGCAGGAAGCCCTAGGCGTATGAAGCGTTCATGAAGCCCTCCTGCAGTGTTTGCACTGGTCTTTGGGATGAGCTGCCAGTGGGTGTGGCACAAACTTCCCACTTTCTGAGGCAGTTACATTCAGCCTCAAGTAGCAAGAGTAGCAGTAGCTGAAGCTGGAGGATGACAGTGTAGCGACATCCTTGTCTTAGAGGAGGGGGATGTAGTTTCCTGGCCAGACAGATATGGAAGGAGACATTTCTCATCACTGTGTCAATCTGTGTGACTGAGAGTAGACTGTCTCTGCCTCACAGCTGTCACTGTCTAATCTGACTGGATGTACTTTACCAAACGTTGGCGCAACAAGGACTGGGAGCAGCGGCAATTTTTCTCCCTTCGCTGATTCTGATCTTGTCTCTGTGCAAGGAAAATGGCTGGACAGGAACAGCCAAGCATGATTACTTGAAGGCAGTTTAATCCTGGTAATGACTCAGGTGTTATGGGAATCTGGAGTAACATTAACACAACAAGTGCCTAGGGGTGTCCGATGCATATTCAACAAAAAGGGGCTTGTGTCTGGCCCTGTTACTGTTCAGTTCGCTGTACATTCTGATGAGTCACTGCTGACCATTTATTTTAAAAGGAGACAAAGAATGGTCTTGTGAACTCAGAAAGCAGGAGTTCAACTGCTAGTTCTGCCCCAGACTTCCTATGTGACTTTGTGCAAGACGTGATCTCTCTCTATGCCTTGGTTACCCAT